TAGCTGTACTGAACTCAGTCTGGTGGAGGCCATGGTAGCTGTGGTCCATTAGTCCTTTGGACTAATCTTTTCCTTGTATCTTGTTCTCTTCATTCTCCCTGGCTCCCGAAGGGGTGAGACCAGTGGAGTATCTCAGATGGCCGCTCACAGGCTTTTAAGACCCCAGACGCTACTCACCAAGGTAGAATGTAGAACACTGTCTATATAAACTGTGTTATGCCAATTGAACTAGATGTTCCCTGAGACCATGGTCCCCACAGCCCTCTGCCCAGCAATTCAGTCCCTCAGGGAGTTTGGAAGTGTCTATGGAGCTTCCGTGACCTTGCCCTGTACAAGTTGTGCTAGCTTCCCCAGTACTGTGTACTGTCTTACCCTTCACCAAAGTTACCACTTATCTATTGTCTATTTAGTTCTCCCCATCAACTCTCCCATCCCTCGTAACCAACAAAGATTGTTTCTTTGTTTCTTACTCTCTTGTGCTGAGTTCCTTTTGTTTGTGGATTTTTTTTCATTTCTTGTGTTTTTGTAGGTTTTGTTTTTACTGAGATTTTATGTTTTTCTTCATTTTTATGAGTAGCTTTGTTAACTTTCTTTGTGGTTACCTTGAAATTTACCTTTATCTTCCTAGATTTGAACCAGTCTATTATTACTTGGTATTGCCTTGACTTCCTCTCCATTAGAAGGTTCTACACCTACACTATTTAGTCCCTCTTTTATTGTTCTGATGCTGTTGTCATTTACAGATTAACCTCTCTGGTTCCCTGTTGTAATTCTTTTGGTTTTGGATAGTCCTTAAGAGTTCATTTCCTAGGTTGGTATCTGGCTGGTACAATCCTGTGTCCTATATTCAGCCTGTGGTCTGATGTTGTTTGTTCTCAGATCGAAGGACTCCCTTTAATAAGTCTTGGAAGTTTGGTTTGGTTTTTACATAGTCCATTAATTTCTGTTTATCTGGAAATGACCTAATTTCACCATCATATCTGAACGAGAGTTTTGCAGGATATATTATTCTTGGCTGGCATTACTCTTTCAAGGCTTTATATATGTCATCCCATTGCCTTCTTGCCTGCAGGGTTTCCACCAAATAATCTGAGCTTAGTCTTATTGTTTCTCCTCTGTATGTGACTTGTTTTTCTTGAGTTGCTCTCATGATTCTTTGTCTTTGGTTTTAGCGAGTGTGATTATGATATGCCTTGGTGATTTTCTTTTGCGGTCTTTCCTATATGGGGTTCGTTGAGCTTCTTGGATGGTCAGCTTTTCATCTTTCATGATATTGGGGAAGTTTTCTGTCAGCAATTCTTCAATGATCCTCTCTGTGTTTTCTGTTTCCTCCCCGTTGTGGAACTCTGATCACTCGTAAATTTTTGCTTTTGATTGTATCTCACATAATTCTCAGGGTTTCTTCATTTTTCTTCAATCTTTTTTCTGATTTTTCCTCAGAGTTGTATCCAAGTGTTTGTCTTCAATTTCACTGATCCTGTCTTCCATCATTTCAAACCTGCTCCTCAGCCCTTCTATGACACTGTCCTTTTCTGAAATCTTGTTTATCTTTTGGATTTCTCATTGTTGTTTTGTATGATTTCTAGTTGTGAATTTATTTTAGCATTTTGTTCCTGTATTATTTTCTTGAATTCTTTGAGTTTTTTGTCTGTATTTTCCATGAATTTGTCTGCCTTTTCTATGAATTTGTCTATTTTTTCCTCATTTTTGTCTGCTTTTTGCTTCAACTCCTGGATAATTCTGAATATTAGAGATTTGAATTCCCTGTCAGTTAGATCTAGTGCCTTTTCTTCTACTGGAAGGTCATCTGGTGTTTTATTTTGGACGCCTACTGGAACCATCTGTCCTGTTTTTGTAAATGTTTTGATATTGTCTGCTGTCTTTGGGGCATTCAGTGGTTATTTTCCTCATTTATTGATCGTAGATTTGTTTGTTTCACCCTGCTTTTTTGTTTTATTTGGTTATGTCTGAGCAGGCAGGCTGTGTGTTCTTTGTTGTTTGCTCAACTGTGGGCACAATACTTTTCACCTCCTTCTCCAATGGGCAGTGTCAGTCACTCAGGTATGGTACAGCAGGGCAGGTCCAGCTGAAGGGGAGTTGCTGGGATGGGTTGTTTGTGGCACGTACCAGGGCTGACAGTGCAGACCGGGAATCAGTGCAGGGCAGGTTCCAGCAGGCCATGCCTGTGCTGCTTGGGAGTGTGATGTTCAGTGCACGGTGCAGGTAGGCAGGAAAGAGGGGGTAGATTGTGATGTGTGGAGCTAAGATGGGTATGGGAAAGATGAGAGAGAGGAGAGAGGAACAGGAGCCAAAAAATACACACAAACAAAAAAGAGTGCTAAGGGAGCTTGCTAATGGAGTGGAGAGATGAGAGACTGAGAAATGGGGAAAAACAAAAACAAAAAAAAAAGGGTAAAAGAAAAAAATGGATAAATCGAGAAACTGGAAATGAAGAAAGACAAAAAAGGAAAAAGAGAGAGAAGAAAACAAAGAAACAAACAAACAAAAAAACCAAAAAAAGAAATGTCCCCAGGTATGTCCCTGTGCGTCTATGCAGAGTAAGGGAGTAGCTTCCAAGCTGTGCAGTACTGCCCGGCTAGAAGGGGCTCCCAAGCCAAGAAAAGAAAAAGAAAACAAACAAATCAAAACAGAACAAATCAGAGCAAACAAACAAACAAACAAAAAAGCCCAGGGGGTCCCACCAGCGTGGTGGCACGGGCCGGGAAGCAGTTTCACAGTCAAGGGGTGTTTCGTATGGAGCCAGGTATTTGAGGG